ACTGTTTTATTCACCAGGAACGCCTCTAAGCCTTCCGTCCCATCGAGGTCGCTTAATTGTTACCGGACCTGTCTCGAGGAGGTTGAAGGCACATTTCGCGATATGCCGTGGAAAATATCATGGACAGCGCGGTTGGAAAACACAATTACATTAGCAGGTTGACTCGGCTGCGAAGATAAAGAGCAGTAGAAACCATAGAAACTCTCCGAATAAGGCCCTCGCTGTTCTGAGAAAAAAGCAAGCATTCTTCGGATTTCGGTCGAGGGACAAAGCAAGGGCAGCGACAGATCATACGAACAAGCAAAACGACGGATACACTGTGTACGGAGTCTTTTGAGCAACCTTGCATCTCAAAATCCCTATTTTACAAATTTATAATGCGAGAGTGACAGAAGTTTCGCAAGTTGTGGTGAAACTACCTTTACCCCCCCCCCCCCCCTTCCCGCCTCCCCCAAAGGCTTCGAATCTTTGAAATTAATCGCGGAAATGCTCCTTCGAAGGTAAAGGGCATGGCTGTAGGCCGGTGCGGGCTACTACCAACTTCAGTGGTGTGAGGGCTGCGAGAACACGTTTGGCCACACCTCACTAAGCACTTCCACCAATAACGTCAGCAGAAACCGCTCGCCCCCACAGTCCTTTAAGGTACTGAAATGCTTTCAAAACATTGCTGTGAATCTTACCTTAGTGAATGTATAATGGTTTACACCGGTATCAAAGTACTACGGGCTTCTGACCTACCAATCATGGTCCAGTCGAAACCTATATTTTTAGAAAGCCACTCCGGGGTATCCGGAGAGTTAGAACAGATAATGCAATACATCCCAGAAAGGGTAGATCAGCGCGAAACTTCGCCCGTTGAATATTTAGTAGATGTTCAGGTGGAGAGGTGGCAGGGACCCATCTTTGAAGCGAAGCAAACAAGAGGTTGGATTAGGGCTTGACTTTTTCTGAAAATAACATTTTTGAACAACCGTATGCCTCTCATATATCGTTTTCGAACTGCGATTTCTCCTCTTCATGTTCATCTAATTGAATTGATCGTCAAGCGTCGAATGTATAGCTATGTTGTCATATTACAACGTTCGCCCAAAGGTCGTTATTACAGACAACGCGTGTATCGCGCGTCCAGCGGCCGTATGAAGAAGCTGAAACGACGTTTGAGTGCTGCGTTCCGTAGCGGTGGATCACAACAGAACGTCGAGCTTTGCGGTGCCGGCGGTCTCACCAACGGGGTTCATCACATTCACACGGCTTCCTATGGCCTCTTCTCAGCTTCACCCAATCGAGCGTGGAGTCTCTCCGATTCAATGAACCATCTCAGCAGACAGGTTTAAGGCACGTCCCTCCTATCGAATCCATTCTCGCATAATACTTCTAGTTGAAGGGTAGGAGCTCATTTATATAGTGCTGTTGGCTCAGTGGTAGTGGTCACGATAGCGGTGGGAATGGTAATGACTTCGCCTGTTTTCTGAAGTGAAAAGAACTGTGGCGATTGCGACAGCTTTCACTGGTCTGTGTTGAAGCCAAAATGCTGAAGAAACAAGGCAGTCGAGATCGGACCAGTTTTAAGGCCTATTTCTGAGGTACAGGAGCAGACGCAACCTGGTGTAGTAAAAAGTGGGACAGAGGGCTTGAGGGGAACATACAAAGGACAGGCCACCCGCTGTAATAAGGACACACCTTAAGGAACCAACTTTGAAATGCAGAGGCGGTCATCCGTTGAAGCGTGAAAACCAGCCTTTGGGGAAATGTAATTTGAAAATTTAAGACTGGACCGGAACCTGTAGAGACCCCTCCCCCTCCGAGGAGTGATCAGTAGGATAGATCAATGCCGTCCAATGGTGCCAGATGATGCTGGTCCCGGATTAATATATCTTTAGCTTTAAGAAAACATATAAACTACCTCTTGTAGTCTTGTAAAAAGTGGGACCCTTCACCAAGGCCCGGCCGGAATGTCCCCTAACGGCTAGCTCGCCCAGGGCCAAAACAAGCCTTCATACGTACGATTTTAGGGCGGACGGTAACTGTACCAGATTGTCGTTAGGATTCTGATTGGAAGTACGATGCGTGTCGCATTCCAAAAGGGGATTGATCAGCAGCAAAGCTTCATCCTTCTATCCTTTGGGGCGCACTTATTTGTAAAGGTAGGACCCAGACACATGCAAATAATCGTGCACCGTGAAGTTTCTGACTAATTACTTTGCTGTTGTGTTATTGCATATTCTACTCATACAACTGGTTCTCTTTAACAACGTGTGCGGCAAAAAAAACAGGCGTTCAGCTAGGATCTCCGCATCGTTTCGTCATTTTTTGCATCGATGGTCAGTAGTTCCGTGTTCTTTCACTTCGTAATGGATGGACCTCAAGATGTCGAGTCATGCCAAAGACGCCTCATTCAGGAGAAAGCGGAGACTTCTAACAAGAACAGTGGACCTTGCCAGGGCCCTGGATGATGTAATCTGTGTGTAAAACGCGCTATTATACCTCGTGATTGTGAAATAGATGTAAAGTAGACCATATGAAGCAGCGCTGAGAGAAAAATGTGCGATACACCATGTGTGGCACGCGGTCTAAAACTTGTTCAACGCTCAGCTCACTTCCATAACTCAAGCTTGCTTTTTTGAAATTCTTAACAAAATCGAGTCTACTATTGATCGTCAGCTGTTCGATTAATTTGCCAATTGATATTAATCTACAAAACATCAGTAATGCAACAGCACAATTTGCGTCTCTGTGGCGCGCCATACCCATTATTCCACCAGTTTTTAAAGCGAGTAGGTTACAACAACTGGTGGAATATGGATAACACGGATGATAAGATTGGGGTATGTGGCAAGAGAATCGTAATTCGCCGCGCCACTAGCCGTCGCGTGCGACGTCGCGCCCGCTAATGACGGTGGTATTGGTCGAGAATAGACAATGTATGACCAAAAATATACGCAAGTGCCTACGATGTCCTCGTCTACATGATGCTGATGCTGATGCAATGCTCCAATCGAAAGGGTAGCCCAAAGGACGTCGCGCCCATTGCCGCGCGCGACGAAGCGGCACTTTACGATGCTCTTGCCCGTCTCCCATACGATTGTCTTGTCGCTTGTTTAGAGAAGAAAAAGGGAAACACAGGATGCCGCCGCGCTAAACGCAGTTGCGCTGCCACGCCCCATCATACGCAACGAATAGAACCGTAAATGTTGGTAGAAGTAATGATAATTGAACGACTTGAAATGGAGAGTACATTTTTCCGAGCGAAATAATTGCGTTCGAGACGAGGATGAACCCTATAATTCTTACACCCCAGAAGATAGGTTACTTTTCCGGGTTACTTTTACATATTTCTCCATGTCGTTAGTGCATTGTAGCAATAACGCCTCCTTCTTCGTGCGCATCAGCTGAAGGGTAACCCATGAACAGGTCGAGCTTGTGTAGTGAGGTCAGCGGAATCTTTTTCCTCACACCAAGGAAGTCCTGATTGACGAGCCAAGGCAGTGGGATGCAGTCAGCGCACAGCCGGTACCTATCCTTGCAGGTTATCGCGACCGCTCCTTTTTGATGACCTTCAGCCCATTCTTCGTCGCAGCTGTTGCTGCCTCTTCTTTGTTTCGTAGATGGAAGTGTTTTGAACCTATACATGTAGATATCGTACCAGCCCAGGAAATTCCATCGCACTCATCCTGGAAGTTCCCTGATGGGGCTGCCCTGCACTCACTATCATTTGCACTTGCATCCTACATTTTCCCTAAACTTTGTTGTAAGTACCATCAATCAAAATCTCTTTATTAGCTTCAGTTATGAGCTTCCCCTTTTGATCGATTCTCGTTGCACTTGACGCCGCTGCTAACACTATTTATCATTTGTGGCCAATTTCATGTATTGTAATTCGGCGCCCATTATTTTCCCTCGAAATTTGTTGGAACGCTCAAATAAGAAAGTCATATTGAATGGGGAGATAATGCCAAAAAAAGAACCCACTGGGATTCACTGGGTAACTGGGGATGAAGAAGTATTAATTTGGCCCATTAGGAAGTTTCGACTATATGTTTCATTTTTTTCGCTGCTTGAAGTTCAAGATCGTGGAAATGGAGTAGGAAGTCAACAAAGGTAGCAGCACTTTTCTTAGGTTCATTGACGCGCTAAAGCTGCAGAAACTGCCCGATAGCGATCAAGCGTATGGTCGAGGTACGGTACTACCGCAATAAGGCTGAATCTTGGTACAGGAGATATTCAATGTAAGTGTACAAGGGGATAGTCAACTAAGGTTTTCGACCCGCTAGAAACCCCAAGTTGTTTTTTTCTTGAATCATTGACTTTGTACTTGCAGAGTCGTACCCACTAAGGGAATTTATTTATTTATTTATTTCATACACTCAGATGAAGTGCGGCCATAAAGAGAATACCAAGAAGGAGCCAATTGCAAGAATGGCGATCGTTTCGAATCCAAAAAACACAGAAGGTATTTAAACAAGCGTATGATCGCTGGTGAAAGTTCCGACATTTACAAGTAAAAGATTGAAGGGTAAGCTATCACAAGAATGCTGTGTTATGAGCAAATGTAGGACCACAGGCGGAACTCGAACCCGTACCGGTGACAATGCAAAGTGCCTCCATCCATGGCGCCACCAGGGACCACTCTTACCCTTCCAATCAACCCTCTCAATGGCGTTTTGTGGATAATGCACTCGCCCGGTCAACGTGAGGTGCGCTTCGAGTCTCGTCTGGGGACTGACTTTTGAAATGATTCACCATTCTTGTGGTAACCTTCCGGCCTTGAACAGCTGTACTAAACCAACTCCGAAAGAATAAGGCGTCTGCCGTTGATGAGTCCCTTTCTAAGATACGGGTCTAACCTTTTTCGAAATTTCGAAACCATTGCCATATCCTTGACGGTGTTTGTCTCTGCCAGGTACAAAACTATATTTCGGAAAAAACTTGTCTTTAGTAGGCTTTGCATCATTGTCGTCTAAACAGCTTAGCTGGACGTTCTTCAGGCATCCGTGTTGAACTTTCTCCACATCAACCACATCCTGTCCCTGGATTAAGGTCAGATACTGCAGAGTCTTAATAGATGACATTACGTCGGAATCACTCGTCGCTGTGCTTGACTGAGTGGAATCGGTTGGAAAAAACTTGCGCTTGAACTAGGGTTGCTTGCTAGGTGGGCACCCTATGCAAGTTAAAGAGTTGAGAGGGAGGGTTCTTTTCAGCGATCTCTAGCACACACGTTCTCACGACCAAGGCACATCATGCGCAGAGGATTTCGGGCAGCTCCATATACTCCCCCCCCCCTGAAAGTGGGCTTGGTACGATCTTCCCCCCCCCCCCTTCTGCGATTTGTTGAAACAGAGCAAAACGCGTTTAGAATCCGCCAAACGCTGCGAACTTGAATTTTCCGCGCGCGCAAATTTGAATATGTAAGCCTGCATCCTTTGAGCACGTTGGAGCGCATTTGCACGCTTAAGAGAGGCCCTTTTTGAAAGGGCCGTAACTTGCTCAAAAGTAGACCATTTGGGTAAACGAGCGCAAACACATTCTCAAAGAGTTTACACTCAGCCTTACTGAAAAATACTAAAATTTACATGAAGTTGAAGTTGTCTTTAGTTTCTGAGCGTACATGCAGCCGGGACTTATTGGGGTTTTTCTAAATTGGCGTCCAGGTTTTTGGGAGACGGTAAAGAGGATCGTAATTCGCCGCACCGCCACGCGCGGCGTTTTCATAACTCGTTTTAACCTGTCGAATGGAGCACCGGACTTCATGTAGACCCCGCCATCGTAGACACTCATTACTGTTTTCGGTCCTTAATTGCATGTTGTCGCCATCTACTGCCTGAAACCATCGTCCTTTGCGGGCGGACGTCGCACGCGACGCCCAGCAGCGCGGCAAATTACGATCCTCTTGTCACATACCCCCTTTATGAAGGGTGCTCAACTTTTCTCCGACTTTTAGGGATATATGATAAAAAGCGTTGGGGTTTTACTGGGAAAACGTCGAGGTGCGCGAAAACAAGTTTTTTGTGTACCATTTGAAGTGGCGTTCTGAACGTCAAAGAGAGCATCTAGAATGGATCCTTTTGTGGAACAGAATTAGGCAGTGCTTTTAGCGCGACCATCAACTTTATCTTCAGGATGCGCCATGAACTTGACTGTCTCTCAGAGGTAACGGGATAGTGAAACTAAAACGTGGGGTCTGTCCACGTAAGCGGGCGTGTTTATAGGGCTCAGAAAGGTCCATGGTCTACCTACATGCTAGTCTAAGTTGCACTTTTCAGTCATCTACGTACTTACGACTTTATTTATTTACCATCTGGCTGACGCGCATTTCTGCGCGCAGGTTAAACCTATATTAGTGATAACTGACAGGAGTGTTAGTGCTCAGCACAGAATGTGCTGAGCACTAACACTTGAGCCTAATTCCTATGTTTCCAAAACGGCCCATTTCATCATGTTTCTCCCTTTTAATGAACACTTGCCAATGTTAGGTTCTTATCATATTTCTAAAAGCACCATTCGTTGGAAATAGGACAGCATAGCGGTTGGAAGGATTCCGATGGTAAAAATATCGAAATCATAGTGGCTCTTATCATCCCTCACTGGCCAACAACTCCAAACGTCCTGTTTTCGGGGAACTCGAGAACGTTTAGCGGTGGAAGCAATTCCGACCGCTAAACTGAGGGATTTTGCTAAGGGGAAACATCTTGACTCACTAAGCCTTCGCCCATTGATTCTTTGGCGGTTGTGAGCAGATACGGACTCCCAGAGGCCCTTGTCGGACACTGTCAGAATTTATCTCCCACCTTTAATGTTCCCTAAGCACCTCTGAATTACTTGCTGGAGCAGTTCCCAGTGTTGCTATAACTCTGCTGTGAATTTTCCTGGCTATCTTATCAGCTGTTATCAATTCCTGCCACCCACCAATAATGTTCCCATCCTGCCCCCTATCTTACTTCTTGGAACCAATGTCCCGTCGTTGCTGTGGCCGGTGCTATGAATTTGATGACCTCTCGCTTTTTAAGACCCCTTATGGTATCTTATCAGCTGTTATCAATTCCTGCCACCCACCAATAATGTTCCATCCTGCCCCCTATTGACCCTCGCTTTTTAAGGCCCCTTATGGTATCTTATCAGCTGTTATCAATTCCTGCCACCCACCAATAATGTTCCCATCCTGCCCCCTATCTTACTTCTTGGAATCAAAGTCCTAGCGTTGCTGTGACGCGCGTTATGGAGTTGGTGACCCTCGCTTTCTAAGACCCCCTATGGTATCTTATCAGCTCTTATCACTTCCTGCCGCTCACCAATAGTGATCCTGCCTCGACCTCCTACATCACTCATAAGTTTGAACTCCTTGCGATGAAATCAAAGGGAGTTACGAATTTCCGGTCAAACACACATACACACACACACACACACACACACACACACACACACACACACACACACACACACACACACACACACACACAACAGACAAACTTAGCGGATTATATATAGTAGGATTTTTAATTATTCATGCGTACGATGATGCGCCAGGTAAACACAAGGGTCTGTGCGGGTGATTAATACAATTAACTCAATGATTCCAGAAACAACAGAAAGGGAATAACGGAAAAAAACCAGAGAACAAAAAAAGAGAATTAAAAAAGCAATGAAGTAAAGCAGAAAAAACTACATGAAAAGGAAACCACGAAGAGGAACTGCCATGCGTAACCAAAAACATTTAGGCCTTGGCTGACTCTCCCTTTACGGCTGACCCTCACTCGCCTCATAGCAGTCAGGTACGACCCCATCATTGGGGAATCCCCAGCTATGGTGTGCTCTGCTCATGGCTGGTCTTTTTTCCGATGACTTCAACTTCTTGTCGCAAGGCTGATGCGAAATTCCACAAGTGTGCTTGGAGTACATCACTTCAGAAAACCTTATTATCCGTCCATTCCGAGAAGAAGTCTCAGCGTTTGTCACAAAGTAGTGTTTTTGTTTTGATTATCAAGCTCTTTTTGATGGATGTTTTCTAGCCTTGCCAGCTTCGGGTTTGCTCGCGCATTGTTGTTTACAACTTTGAATTATCCCCTTTCTGAAAGGAGGGGAAATCCATTTCTTGGCCATGAAAGAATGCTCTATCCTTTTATTGAGCAAATGGTCATGAAACTGGAAAAAAATAAATATTATAACGGTCACAACAATTCGAAGGTTTAAGCGGTGCTGCTCGTACCTCCCCGGATGAACTGTTGCGCTTTCGCAGTTCAAAATAGTTTGAAAGGGATAAAGGCACTCGTAATGCTTATCCGTAAGTTGTAAACCACCTTGTAGGGCGTTTCTTTGGATATTTTTGTTCACTTAACGGTTTCCTGATGGTGAACAGATTACATGAAGCCACTTTTTCCATTTTTCTCTCTTTTTATTGACCATTTTGTTTATTTAGGCATGAGGCGCGCCTAAATGCTAGCAATCATCATAATGCAAACAGTTGTTCCTTTTTGATTATGCGATCGCAGTAGATTTCGATGGCGTGCTCAAACCCTGAAAAATTCAATTTGAAAGTAATGAGAACGCTCCAACGTAGATGGCATAGGGGCGAAAAATTTTGGTTCACATTATCTCCAGCAAGGGACTTCTTATCATCCGTAATCGGCCCTAATACTGCGCAAAGACCTTAATTCTCACGTTTGATCGGCTAATAGGGAAGTTTTCATTTGTCGTCGATATACGAGTGGGGGGGGACAAAAACTTGGGACTTTAAAAACTCACCAAAATCGAGACTTCGCCGACAGAGTTGTACGATGCCCTGACCTCGAACTCGGTACCCATTTCAGATAAAAACTCACCAAAATCGAGACTTCGCCGACAGAGTTGTACGATGCCCTGACCTCGAACTCGGTACCCATTTCAGACCTTTTCTGGAACCTCTTCAAGCAAGTCTCCGCAAAAAAATTTTGTGTTTTTGGAGTGTAAAAAATTAGTGCCAAAATTTCTTAACCTCGGTATTCCCCAGCAAAGTTGACCTCGCTCTGTAGGACCCAAAGTGGAGCAAGCACTGCACCAACGCATCCACCGTCAAGAGAAGTTGAAGCCACCGATTATCGCCGTGGACCTCTAAAGTGCCTATAGTATTTGAGACAGTCTGAAACTGCGTAACTCCCAGGGCGAGACACTCGCGCACAGCTTCCTGGAAGATATCGCTTCGATAGTGGGGAACACTAGCCGTCCAGCTCTGAAAACGTTTTCTTTCACGTTTTGGACTTGATTACTGGACCTTCGAAGCAGAATTAATCTCCACGCGATCTGGGATCCCACCCACATCGGTTTGTTAGATCGTAAAGATACAAGGACATCGAAGCAGTGTCTGTAGTGTGTGTCTACTTATTCCGTTGCTCCGCGTGTTCACAAAAAAATGGCCGTGCTCTGAATGAGCGAAGTGCCTTTCAGCCCCTCAATCTTCACGCGCCTCCGCACTTCTGAGGAACATGCCGAGATTTATAGAGATTTTATTTTTATTTCATAGGGATTATCGCACTTGGACACTACTCAATGGATTATGAGTTACGGAGCGGTAAGATCGGTGACTGCCAGTTCTTATATTGTACCCGTCTTCATTTGCCCTCCTGGACTTTCTATCATTGACATCGAGACCCTATGGCGCTTTGTTCCTCATTGAAGCCAGAAATAGTCACTTTCGAGTTTTCGCAGAGCAAACCTCGCTTGCTCAGGTGGTGTCGTGCAAATTTGGAAACAAGCACGTCGAATGTTAGAGATCCTCAGAGAGGGTTGAGTCTGGTCGCTGGACAAAGGGAGTGGGTAGGGGGTGCATTTGCCACTGGGAAAATGTTTTCGGGTGCTCAGTTGTTGACCTTTTTCAGGTACACAGGTCTGAAGTACGTTCAATCCCCTCCCCGCGCCCAATTCCACGGCAGGTGCTGGAGATATTTTTGGCGAAAAACTGGAGAATTTTGAAAAAAACAACTCTGAAGTCTCGAGAGATTGTGCGTGGAATGGGAGAAGGAGGATCGTACCAGAGGAAAAGTTGAAGGGGGGCTATAGCAAAATTTCCTCACGCCAGAACGCGCCGTGTTCGGAATAGAGATTTCCGGGGAACCCTTGATCGCTGCTCGAATAAATGCAACTCGTCCGAACTATCTGGTCATAGCTTATCTAGAGTTTCTGCTCTAAGTGACGTGAAACAAGCGGACATATAACGTCTGATCTGTGATTTGCGATCCCTTCGACCTTTCTGGACTCCCTATCGGCACTGGTGGAGGGTGTAATCACGTACAATTGTGGGCGTGGCGTCTGTGTATATCAGATGGAAAACCGCATACTGCTTCGGGAAAAGGCGTAAAGAATGTGTATGGGAACGCAGGCGGCACAATAACGCGTTGATGCACCTCTTTTCTTACCAGTAGCTGCTCGCAGGCAGGTAATGCTCGAAATCATTCCCGAAACATTTTGTAGTTAAGGAACGGGCAGGATACTGTCGCGACCAGTTGGATAGGGTTGTTCGACGATGGTAGACATGATATCAAGATTTTGTGAGAATGTGGCAGGCGGACAGCCTTTTAGTCATAGTGGAACGACAACTGATCAAAAACATGCATCTTTTAGGCAAAAAATGGTCGTGTTGATTCTAAACTTTCATCTGTTTCGTGCGGCAAAAAATGATCTTGTTGATCCTGAACTTTCATCTGTCTCGTGCCCTTAGTAATTTACTTTCCAGCCAACAGCGGTTCATTTGTTCTTATTGTTAGTCAACTGGTTCTGGTTACGCTGTGGCGTGTACGAGATTGTAGGATGTGGAGTGAACCGTTCGATAGCTGAACAAAATGCTCGTAACTTGGCAATGGGTTTCCGTAACATATTCACCGCTATGTGAAGAGATTAGCGTTTCCCGGCCTAACGAGAGGTGAGGGAAGGAGCGTTTTGCACTTTGACCTGTTCCTTTTGCTAGCTCATGTTATCTGGCAGGCTAACAGATCCTATTTGGTAACAGCTGTAAACTCTCGTGGGGCTGCGAAGTGGCACACGTGAGAAACCTTGATTGCAAGAACTTACTGATCTTCCCATGATGACCTGTACAAGTGCCATCTGGTGCCCCACCCAAGCCGAACTGCGCCGACTTTCGTAGTGAAATGTTTGTTGACGCGATCTCCGATATAGGTCGACGCGTCACTTCTCATATAGTTACTGAATTAGTAAACTTCGTCAGAGGTAGTCAATTCGCCTTACAACTGGGGTGGGTAACCAGTTTCAGTATTTCTGTCCTCCCATACACTTCTTCAATCTGTAAGCTGAGCTTTACTAGTCAGGGGTAGGGGAGGAAGATGGTAGTCCTATGTTTGATCCACAGGATCGCGTCCCGATGAGCAGCGCCTTTTCTCGTTTCATCACTTCAACCCTAAACGATAGGACATATCTGCATTTTTTATCACTCACCATCAGAGATGTGATATGCATTTGGCTCTCATTGAGGGGTTCAAAACAAAAATGTTGGTTCTTCGTTTGACGATTCGCCGTGGGTAGGTTTGGTCTTCATGGAATTTCGTTAAGTTCTTTGCCTAGTGGATCGTAAGTAGCGAAGTTAATATTTTCAACATTTTCAACTTTCTTTCTCAGAAGTTGGAGTGTTTCTACGAGCTTAAATCCAACAATTCTTCAAATGGCCTTTTTTTGTAAAATGTCCACGTGCACGGACCTCCAGGGCATCTTTGGCTTACAGGAAAGTTCACCACTGTTGAAACCGACGTTATCGTTCCTTCTCTGTCGAATGAGTCTAAACAAATGAGTCTCGAACAAGCGATCTTAAAGTGATGAGCGCTCTCAGTAGTTTGGGTTAAACCCGCTGAATGTGCAAGGGTGATTTTTGAACCTTTGATCAATGGCGATATATTACTGCAAGAATGCCGGATAATGGGCGAAAAACTTCACCTCAGTCTCTGCTGGGTTCAAAGCTGTACCTCACATTTACCTACCGAGCATCACACCCCAGGGCCATTTACGGCACGTACTGTTGGGGGGAAACTACGAAATACACTCCTCGGAGTTTCCTCCTGTGAGGGGAGGGGCGTGGGGCGTAGTTCCCCCTACTACCCCATCCTACTTACCTTCGCCTTGAGTTCTCCGAAGTTCCTGGCTTCCACACTTCCACGGCTTTTTCGTGTACGTCTTCCCGAAAAAGCTATCGCAAAGCCGGATAGGGGATACATAGCGCACTGAAAAACCGAGAATCGTCAATAACTGATAACATTTTTCAAAGAGGCTTCTTCGACCCCCTCTCTCTCCAGTCCCTGAATCGACCCCCCCCCCTGCTGGGGATCCCCATCATATGAGGTTGTATCCTCTCAGGGTAATGACTTTTATGCCATTGCAGCTCGCGTTCCATAAGTTACCGCAAGAGACGCAGTGAAAAGAAGTGAATAGAACTCAAGTATGTTTAATTTTTGTTTTGAAGGGAACAGATGTTTTTCTGAGCAGCATCTCCTCTTGTTCCTTTGAAGGTGCGTTGACCTTATCCTGAAGTCTGATGTATTGGTTCAAGTTTGATTGACCGACTGTTGACAGAATTACTCAGCGAATGAGGTGCGAGATGAGAAAAAAGGGCTCACAGATGAAAGAGAACCCTGGTGGACAAAAATCGCGAGTGAACGTTCTAATGGAGAGCAATATGTTTCGTACGAAAAAAAAGTCGACGAAAGGAGTTTTTACAGCGACTGTGAAATTCCTACCATAAACACTACGTCGTGATCATTCAAAAACTTGAAGGTGGTGCTTCGATGGGGGTGCACATATGTTTTCTCATATGAAATGAGCACTTCTTCTCGTTCACATGCTGTGATATATTTCATAAATATTTTATTAGTGCCCGAGAAGTGTTGAAAGCTTTCACATTTCCTACACCTCTCACTTACTATGTCAGCTCTTAGCGCTAAAAAGCATCTTGTAATGACGCGGTCCCTCCTACTCCGCATCAAAAGTTGTAATCTCAAGGGTTGAAGGCGCATTCCGCGATAAACTAGGGTCATTAGCTCTCATATGGGTTAGGCGATCCTGTAGTCGGTTGTAGAGGCAGCACTACACCAAAGGTGAAAATTCGCAAGAGTGACATTTAGGCCCATGAGAACCCCTTAGACCCATGCCGACCCCCGATGGCTACTAGTTACTAGCTACTAGCCCCTCTACTAACTCTCACCATTCCGAATGGTGACAGTGAAGCGATAGCGGGAAAGACTTTCTCTTCACTGTGTGCACATACAAGCTGGCGTCGGCAGGGAACCTT